GCAAACGTGGCAAAATAGCCAAAGATTTTGGACCTGATTACATGACCTATGTAGTGAATAAAGAACCACAAACTTATAAGGATGTTATAGCTTCTTTTGAAGCTCCCTTTTGGAAAGAGGCAGTCAAAAGTGAGATTGACTCCATTGTGCAGAATAACACTTGGAAATTGGTAGATTTTCCACCTGGGCAAAAACCAATTAGGCACAAATGGATATTCAAGAATTAGTTTAGAGCTGATGGTACCATTGAGAAGTACAAAGCTCGTTTAGTAGCTAAAGGGTATCGTCAAAAGGAGGGTCAAGACTTTTTTGACATCTATTCACCTGTTACAAGAATTACATCAATTCACACATTAGTAGCAATTGTAGCCATTCACAATTTGGAAATACACCAAATGGATGTGAAAATAGCCTTCTTGTATGGTGAACTAGATGAAGAGATATATATGAATCAACCTGAAGGGTTTGTGGTTATAGGTCAAGAAAACAAAGTCTGTAAGTTAGTTGGATCACTTTATGGTAGGGATGGCAATGGGTATGTATACCGGGTTTCGTGTTCCCTATCCCCATACCCGAATCCTCATCCCCATACCCGATCCCATCCCCATCGGGGATTAAAAATCTATCCCCATCCCCATCCCCAATGGGGGAACGGGGATCCCCAATGGGTAATCGGGTATTTTTCCCCAATATAAAGTTTTGGACTTTTATGAAAAATAACGCATAGTTATATATTAGCCAACAAAACAAAAACTAATAGAAATAATAAAAGCACTATAATCACCGAATCTATTCAAACATGAACAATAATATTCAAGTTTACAAATTAAACCATATTTTGCAAAAAAAAAGTCTTCCAAAAATTACACGTTTAATTGTTGAAAAACCTTACTATGACTATTGACTTACTTTCTCTTATTCATTATGATTTATGGATTGATTAGAAATAAAAACATAAATAATACTATATATATATATATATATATATATATATATATATATATATATATATATATATATATATGGCTAGGTTATTTTGTTTCTTACATTTATTGTGTGCTAGAATGCACCAATAGGAATTTAGTAAATTAAATAATTATTTAATTAAATAAATATAGATATTAAATGATTTCCATAACTATATGTATATTAAATGATATCCATAATTATAATTCTATTTTTATGGAAACAAAATAAATCATTCATTAATGTCAGCAATAACATTCTTTCAGATTGAATTCGCATCTAGGTTTTTATATATGTGTTCGTATTTTGTTTCAGGATTCACTCACTTAAAATACAATAAAGGTGCATGGAATATGAAGAACGAGAGTGTATTCTACTAGAATGCACTCTCATTCTGCTGAAATAGACTCTCATTCTTCTAGATATGAATTCATTCTGAAAGAATATTATTGTTGACATTAATGACGAATTTAATTAGTTTCCATAAAAATGAGTTATAAGTATGGATAGCATTTAATATACATATAAATAATACTAAATTCCTATTGGTGCATTCTAGCACACAATAGATGTGAGAAACATTTGAACCTACCTCTCTCTCTCTCTCTCTCTCTCTCTCTATATATATATATATATATATATATATATATATAATATATATATATATATATATATATATATATATATATATATATATATATATATATATATATATATATATATATATATATATATATATATATCGGGTACCCACCGGGGTCGGTTTTGGGTATGGGTATGGGTACCCGATAGGTAAAACCATTCTCATCACCATCCTCGTCCCCATCCTCGGTCAAATCGGGGATTTACCCGGTCAACTCGGGTTAGGGTTTCGGGTACCCATCGGGTAAGGGTTTTTTTGTCATCTCTACTTTATGGACTAAAACTGGATCCAAAGCACTGGCATGAGAAGTTTGACAACACATTACTCTCTAATGGATTTAGAATTAATGAATGTGATAAATGTGTTTATGTCAAACAATACAAGAATGCTTGTGTCATCATATGCTTGTATATCGATGATATGCTTATAATGGGTACTAATTTGGATGTGATCAATCAAACCAATAAAATGCTACACTCCTCTTTTTCCATGAAGGACTTGGGAGTAGTAGATGTGATCCTTGGTATAAGAGTTCAAAGAAGACCACATGGTTATACTCTTACTCAATCCAATTATATTGAAAGTGTACTCAATAAGTTTGGACACTATGATGACAAGCCGGTAGTCACCCCTTTTGATCCTTCAAGTCATCTTAAGAAGAAAAAAGATGATAGTGTAGCTCATTTATAATATACTCTAGTTCTTGGTAGCTTAATGTATATTATGAATTGTACTAGACCGGACTTGGCTTATAGTGTAAGTAGATTAAGTCGTTACTCCCACAATCCTGGGAAAGATCATTGGTATGCATTAGTAAGAGTGCTTAGATATTTAAAGCATATAATGAATTATGGATTGCATTACACGAGGTATCCTCCTGTACTAGAAGGATATTGTGATGCAAACTGGATTTCCAATACTTCTTAGGAAAAATCCACAAGTGGATATGTTTTCACTCTTGGTGGAGCGGCTATCTCTTGGAAATCATCTAAGCAAACTGTGCATAATCATTCTACAATGGAAGCAGATTTTGTTGCTTTAGATAAAGCTGTTGAAGAAGTTGAATGGCTTAAAAGATTCCTAAAAGGCATTCCTGTGTGGCCTAAACCTGTTACTGCCATTGGTATACATTGTGATAGCATGGCTGCTCTTACTAGAGCACAAAGTCAGATATATATAATGGCAAGTCAAGACACATTAGGCGCAGACACGTCACAATAAGAGACTTGCTGAAGAATGGAATCATTTCCATTAGTTACATAAAGTCAAAGGAAAATATAGTTGATCCTTTGACAAAAGGCCTTAGTAGAGAGCAAGTTCTCTTCACATCAAGGGGAATGGGCTTAAAGCCAACACAATGAGTCACCACCTGGCAGAAACCGAACCTAGCAACATTGGAGATCCCATGGTCTAGGTTCAATAGGACAACTAGTTGGGTTAGACTCAAAGAAGCACCAACACAAATGTATGCTCATTCCTATGATAATTATTTTGTGTTTTCCCGTTGATGATATAGGGATGAATCCTTATTCTTAATAATGCTGATAGCTTTTATAGTGGAATAGTACGGATTGTTCCAGATTAGCATTACCTATGTGAGATAGATGTGAGGTCGCATCTTTGGGAGTTGATATGGCTAATCTCTCTAAAAGTATCATGAAGAAAGGATTGTTCACGACCGAAATGAACACAACGGTAAGAAATGATCTATGCTTAGATATGATATGTTTGATACTTCTTGTTTTTTATTCTACTATAAAAAGTGGTTAGTTCAAGACTCTAGTTCACTATCCACAAAGTAGATCCAAGTAGTACTCACTATGAAAGGTTCGTGTTTTACAACACCTATTGAGATGCATGCCATATCTTACTTCCCTTATTTGAATATCCAAGTTCCCTTATTTTCTATCCAAATGTGGGATATTTTTGGAGTTTGAATAGAAAATGTGGGATATTGTTGGAACTTTTTTAATGTAAAACTTTCTCTATGGGACTTGTCCCACATTGGAAGATAGAGGAAACTTACACTCCCTTAAAAAACCTCCTACTAGTTGTTTACTAATTAGATCAAAGGCTTGGACTAAATGGATTGGGTTGGATTTGGTGATTGGGCTAGTCAAATTGGTCTTGAAAGACTTAGATTAATATATATATATATATATATATATATATATATATATATAATAGTCAAAAGATTGGCCTTGGGCCTTAGGGCTCTTGGGGTCTCCATGACTAATTACATTATTTTTATATATATTAATTCCTATTTTGAATTTTATTTTATATTAAAAATCTGTTAAAATCGTTTTAATTGTATTGACAGTTATTTTCGGTTAACAGTTTTTGGAGGGAAAAATAGTTATTAATTGTCAATGTATATCTATAAATGCATCACCAAAGACCAGATTTCGGGTTCAGAAAAAACACACATATTCCTCATATAATTTCGTATTCCACAAAAAATGAAGGGAACATAGTAAATTTCGTCAGAATCAAGAGAAGATCTTTGTTGATTGTTGTATCCTATTGACATATCCCTACTAGGGAAATTTCTGTCTTAGGAACCTACAATTGCAGGTCTCAATCTACAATTTCGAGTTTCTATTTTCTATTGTATACATCAACATTTCAAGTATGTCTTCTTATTTATGAATCTTTGATTTATATAATTTCGATTTGTTTATGTTTCTGTTTTGTCCATTTTCGTTTTTGTTTACTTTTGTACGAAGCACGTGGGTCTTCTACTATAGTATTAATGATGGATAAAAGACGGATTACTGACAAATTAATAACTAAATAATTTTTGTTATGATTAGTTTATATCAATTATCACATATTATCAATGATTTTTTGTTTATATAAAAATTATATTTAATGACCTACTTTTACATTTTCGAACAAGATATTCCAAATCACAGACCAATAATCTGAAGCAAAAGCTGAAGCTAAACAAGATTTATGGATTTTTAACCAAACGAAATTCACGTACTTTAAAATGACATGAAGTCATAATAAGTCCGTGACACACGTCCCATTCTGAAAAATATTAAATAAAACATAATCATTGCTTTTTAATTTTCTAAGAATATAATATTTAATTTACCAGGTTCTATAAAACCATATTCGATAAAATAATCAATTCTTTAAAGAATAATTTGTGGTCCTTTTTTTTTCATCTTAAACGGGGTGCCCAACAGCCCAACACACTTTTATCTTTCTGCAACTTCAGTTTACTTAATAAAAACACAAACTTATTTATACCAGTCACAAACTTTTTTTTATACATGCTTTTTTCTTAAAAAAAGATCAGAATTTACACGTCATACAAGACGACAAACATCCGAGTTACACCACAAAGTGGCAACACCACGTAACACCAGATCACACCCCCTTAGACTAGTGTAGTACACGCAGAGGTTTTAGGGTCCCACATAGCTGGGACCAAGTACTTTCGTCCATTTAACCCGTGCGCATTGTAGCTCGCACCCGTACTCTTATCCACTAAAACATCACCCGGGTAACCCGGATAAGAACCCGACCCGAACATTCCAGTACAAGCCGACACCGCTTCCAACGGCGCAGTCGCCGGACCCTGAAAGTAACCTTGGTTAAACGGGTTGGTGACAGCTCCGGCTAACACCGTCGCTAAGTTGATCACCATTCCGTCGACCCCAACATCGCCGTTGGGAGAAACCAACGGCGGCGACTGTGGGCCGTAAATCGGTTGATGAAACGGCCAAGCACACTGACCGGCGCACTGTGTTTCCGAATTCCCGACCCACGCATACGCCACCCTCGGCTTCGCTTTAGTCGACCCGTGAGTACCACATCGGCTCATACAAAACCCTTCGACACCAACCTCTTTGGCAGTTAACACGACGTTGAGGGAGTTTGGTTGAGCGACTTTGGTGGCAAGGTATTGGATATGGTAGTTCTTGAGAAGCTTCCCGAGTGAGTAGTTCTCATCGAGGATTTGTTTTCCGACAACGGTAACAGAGGATCCGTTATGGTACTTCTCGGTGGTTTTCCACCATGAGGAGACGGAAGGAAGCGGCGTCGCTGCCTTTCGTGTCCCCTTGACGGTGTTCAGAGACTGTAAGAAGTCGACGATTATGGAGCGTTGGGTGGGTGTAAACTTGCCGTACCAAACAAGATTAACGGTGACCGGACCTCGGAGAAGGGCGCCGTTGTGGTATTTGAGGACTAGCGGCTGCTCTTTAACGAGTGCACTGAAAGATGTTTGGAAAACAGAGATTGTGAGGAGGGAGATAAGGAGAGTGGCAAAATGGTAATTACTTGCCATGACAGGGGTAGAATACTAGAATTTAGAAAGTCGAAAGGAAAGAGGTAGAAGGATGAATGTTTTTAGTGAATAGAGAGGGGAAGGGATTGTGTTTATATAGTGGAGACAGCTGTAGGGAGTCACCATCAATGGAGTGCCACTTGGCGGGACGTGATTGGGGGATGGTGGGCTTATGCCAGGCTGTAAGGTTCTGGTGGTAGGAATAGGGGTGACGTGGCAAGGCTAGAGGGTTTAGGGTTAGTGATAATGACATGGCAGATTAAAAGGATTGAAGCGTGTAAAGATGACTGCGATGTACGTATCAATGAATTCATGTCGATTTGACTCCATCACACTTCAGAGTAAGTAAAAATTATGTTTTTATGTTTTATAAAATCATTATATCTACAATAGCCTATAAAGTATTCATGTCTTTAACAAAAAATTTAATAAACTTAAATATTGAAAATAAAAAAATTAACACTTATAATATACAACGTGAAATCAAGAAAAACATCAGCTAAATATATTTTGCTCAAAAAAAAATATCATATTAAGATTATGTGTATTAAAATCAGATAATTTTATAATTTTATTTGGTGACCAATAATCAAACTCATATGATTAGTTCATCTGGAAGTACGGGTCACAAAACATAAAAATTTAAACATAAACATAAATTTAAATGATTTTAATAAACACAGAAATGATATAATTGTTTTTATTACCATGGATGTGTAATAGTTTGAGTGTTCAAGGATTTTCTAATATAAAAAATAGTAGTTCTCACACATCAGTCGCTAGTTCAATTTGCAGAAATTAATTATAATCTCTTTAAAATATATAAATAATTTTAGGTACATTTTATATTATCAGATTATTAAGTGATTTTACGTAATTTTTTATTAAATTATTTTAATAAAAATGTAATATTTTCATATAAAAAGTGATGCGTGTATATAACGTATAATGTGAGATTTAAAGTGGTAGAAAAAAAAAAAAAAGGATTGTACTTTAACGAGTATTTGAACTAGTTTACGTTCGTGTACGGTCACTGGTCCTGCGAGGCCCATTAGCTACCTCTTATCATTTCAAATTTCTAAATTAGAGGGTAGGGGTACCCACTACCATACCACAGTTTTGAAAATGACAAATATACTTTATAAAAGGGTAAAAGTGTATCTATTCAATAATATTTTGTTTTTGAGTAAATTATAACTTAATCCATGTAATGTATATTCTCTTAGGACGTTTGTCATAGTTTTGAAATTTTGATGCAATTATTTTTCAATAATAAATTTGCAAAATAAATAATCAGTAAATTATAATACTAATTGACCCAGGCTCGTGTTTGACACGATTTTCTTAAATAGATTTGACGCATGTTCCCAGAATACAACAACAGAAACAGTATGTATTGTTGGATTTGACAACTTGCGTTAAAAGTTTGTCGTAATTTGTATGCAGAGAGAAGGTAAAGAGAGTATTTAATCAAGGGTGTATTCGAATGAGAATGCAAGGTCTCTTTATATACCAAACTTTGTAATTGCATTTATTAATTCGAAATTAAATGAATTAATTAACTAACATTAAATACATCAGTTACAAAAATTATTTCAGGGACCAAAACTGTAAAGTTCTGCAAAAACGTGGCTTGCACGGGCCCGTAATCTCAGAACTGCATTGGTGTCCACAGACCGCGCCCACACACAAGTTCGTTGAATTTTGTCTACAAAATCCATGATTCGCACCCCTGCACCCGTATATGTGTTAAGAGTAAAACTATCCATAGAAGCTTGTAAACTTATTATACATCTATGCTTATAAACCCACTAAGGTCAAATCCAACCTTAACATTAAAAAAAACACTAAATTTGTGTAATTCTAACACTAAATATTTTTTCCCTTCCAACCACACACTAAAAGCTCCCGCTAAAATGCATATTTAATATTTTTATCAATAAAATAACAATTTTATTTTTATTTAATTATGAAATATTTGTTATTTTTGTTTTTCTACAAACCCACATCATCTCGTAGTTTCTTGAAACCATAGACTACATCCATGGCTTTCTTGAAACTATCAAAATCTACATTTTAATTGTTTCACCTTTCCAATTCCCATTCCATACTCCATCGATTCACCTCAATAACCAATACGTTTCTAGAAATCCATTTTGAACTCCATATTTTTAGACGAACAGTAGGTATATGAGGCAAAAAAACGATCAGGAAAATAAGAAAACTAAAACAACTAATAGTTGGGGTCGCCGGATATAAAAGAAAAGATGGACACGATGAAGGAGGCTAGAATACACACACGCCAACGTCTTAATTTCCCCAATTCATGTTGATAGAACAGAACGAAAACAAAGAGTGGAAGTCTTGAAACCAGTCTTTTTTGTTTTTAAATGAGTTATTTATATATAAAATAAATATTATATTAAATATTACATTTGTCGGTCATGAACAGTATCTCACCATTTGTGTGTGTTCCTTTGCAATCTCACCACGTTTGCGTTGAAAATAGTGGTCAGATGGACTATTTTTGGCCTGCAAAACACATATTTGCTGGTCTGTTGGAGATGGTCTAGGAGTTTGCACTTTTTCTTATGTGGGACATATTTCCACAACCACTTTATTTGTAAACTTTATTTTCCAATATTCATCTTTGAACATTGATATCTCATTTACATATTTTTCATTTTGGACACAACATATATTGTTTCGAAGCTCTCACGGAGGAGAACATAACCTACTAACGATTAATAAACTATACAATATATTTATATTTAAATGTGTCCAAAGTTTAATAAAAATACATAATTTTTATTAAAATTTCCAACAATACATTCTTATGTTTCCAAATCCATCACATTAGCCCCCCAATGTGTATGTTTCCATTAAGAAGCCCCACATTCCTTACACAAGGGCTTTTTGTTCTTTCCCTCAACACCCTCTTCTATTCTAACATTTTGTCACCATTACTTTGTAAGTAGATACGATTAACATGAACCATCCATAACCCATAGTTGATCGACTTCCCCTATAAAACCCTTCCTTCTCCATCTTGATCCCATGATCTGGATCACTTTTGTTAGAAAATTAGGGTAGAAACAGAATAGTTAACTACTGGATTCTTCAAGGATCATGTAGGTTTACTTTCTAAATCGATATTTATCATATATGTGTGGGTTACGAGAATTCGATCTTGGATAATCCTTGAAGGAACAATCTATATTCTAGGCACATAAAAATTGATCAAAACGAGAGAGAATACGGTGTGTGTAATTTCTGTATGTTTCAAAAACTAGAGAGAGAGAGAGAGAGTTCTGATATGTCTCAGAATTCGAAAATAAAAAACTACATTTTCATATTAGTATTTAACACATTTCAAATATTCGAGAATCTGGGTGTCCTTAGGATTGAACCTGTCAACCCATTTGAAAACCTGAAGATAAAATACATACAAGTTATAATTCCCAAGAAGTCTGAATAACATGGCACTATTATTAAGTCGTGTTTCCTAATCCTCTCATGATTATATAAAGGCCATGTCCACAACTTGTTTAAGGGTGACTACACTTCACAATCACATAGGTAATTCCTTTTATATCATGTACCTGCAATCCTCTTTTGCAAAGGAACTATTAAGAAATTAAACTTCTGCCTTAACTACTGTAGTACCGAACGTATACCTAGGATGATTCATTATGTGTTCCAATCTACACGTGTAGCTTTCCACATTGAATTCAACTTCTAACATTATATTAGAAAGGAATTGGGTGTGTCACCATTATTGATTTAAATGAACTTTAAACCCATCCCAATAACAGACTTGTGCACTAAGTCTCTTGCCAAACTTTTGTCAAATGATCTGCCAAGTTCTGTTGCGTTCTCACAAACTCAATCGAAACTACACCATTCATGATTAATTCTTTAATCATGTTATGTCTAACACCCAAGTGTCTAGACTTTCCATTCACTTGGTTGTAGGCCTTAGCCAAAGTGACAACACTATCACAATGGATAGAAATAGGTGCAATTGGCTTTTTCCATAATGGAATTTCATGAATCAAATTTCTAAACCACTTTGCTTCTTTACCAGCAGTAGCTAACACAACAAATACAAACTCCATTGTAGATCTGTAATGCAAGTTTTCTTCTTGGAAGCCCAAGATATAACTCCTCCCCCAAGTAAGAATGCCCAACCACTTGTTGAGGAATGATCCTCCAAGTATGAAATCTAACTTGAATCTGAATACCCTTCTAGGACCAAAGGATATCCCAAGTAACTCAAACCATATTCAACATTCCTTTTAGACACTTAAATAATCTTTGAATTGCATGCAAATCTTGAGTACTAGGATTACTAGTATATCTATCAATCTTCTCACAGCATAGGCAATATCAGGTATGGTGTGACATCCCTATTTTCACAGCCAAAAAAGACCGATTTTGTTTATGCTTTATAAAAATCAAAGTATCTCTTTTAATAAAAATGTTGCGGAATTTGTTCCCAGAAAAACATGATAAATACGTTATCAAAGCATTTCCGAAGAAATGTATTTTTATCCATTTTAAAACATTTGGGATGTCATTGTCAATACAGAAACATAAGCATAAACAGAACTTACATTCATTTACACTAGTGATCTACATCTCTTTTAAATCCCTCAGTGTAAAGTAGCTTCATATCGACACCTGTGATACAACTAAGCTTGAGTGGGTCAGGTTGGGAAACCTGGTGATTACATAGGGTTTTCAACCCACAATAATATAATTATTATGTTAAACATCAAACAATCAACCCAATTACCCATCCCCATTATCTTCTTTACTCTTAAGGATCTACCCTAAGATTCAGCTATTCCTCGTTCATTCATTCCTAAGGATCATCCTAAGGAATCAGCACGAAATCCATCGTTGCCAGGGTTTACTCAACAGACACTAAGTCGCATAGTTGCCAGGGTTTAGGCACTAAGTCTCATAGTCACCAGGGTTTATACAACAGACACTAA